CACATGGCTCTACATGGTAATCAGTACTGGGATCTGAACTGCCATATTGGCATAGGAGAGGGCGGAGCCAGGAGGCCATACGGGGGAGACTGAAATGTATAATTAAAGTTTAAATAAAAAAATTATTATGATAAAAGACACACTGCCATGAGTGCCCCTCAGAACACTCCCCCTATCTTAGAATACACTTATCCCATCCTGCTCGCCACCTTCTGAAGCAGTTCAGGATATCCTCTTTTGTGAGTGTCTTTATAAGGTGTGATAAAAAATACAGTGAGCCCTGTTTCAGAGTGCCTTCCAACAGGAAGTCAGCCCCTAAAACATTCGTCCTCATCCTCCGAATTCACTGGATCCAGCACTGGGATGCTTCTGTCTACTCCTCACAGTCAAAATAACTACAAAAGATGAATGTTTTGAACAAATTCAGGGTGTCAAGGTGGACACGACAGCACAATTAAATACAGTCACAAAAGAAGACCTTGGGAACTGCTTGAGAAAGTGACAAGAATGTGGAGATTAATTGAGTTTAAAGTGGGGAGTGTTCTGAGAGGGATTAATGGCAATTCGTCTTTTCCTGTGATAATTATTTTATTGATGGTCACCATAATTTTTGACCACACCTCATATATCCAGGGGGTAAAATAACTTCAATCATAACCAAAAACAAGTTTATTGAAGGGACAATCCCTGATGAATAACTTTTCCCCTCAATCCTGACTTCTCAGAATGCTGATACAGCCAGTGATTCTGAGCCACCTTCAATAAAGGGAAGAAATGAACAAATTCTGCCTCTTCCTGATGGAGATCACCACGTTAAGGCGCTGCCGGATGAGGGCTGCTCCCTGTCCCCTTGCTGCTGAGGAGTGAGGGTTTGATCTGCTATCATCTGACTTTCTGTGATATCGGTTTCAGTATTCTTTGTGACTGTCTCTGGTTATACCCTTAGAATCGGCGTTTCAACTTCTCTCATTTTGTAAACATCCAGTGGAACAATGCTATTGTCCCTGTGACACACTTGCTCTCCTAGAATGTATAAACGAGTGTGTTTACACAGAATGCCACTATTCTCTGATAGGATAGGGATGGCTCCAGGTCACAGATTTGGTCCTGTAGCATGTCTTCCTTGGTCAGCTACAGGCAAAAAGAGGGTACAAGCAGCCTGTGTGCCCCCACTTACTTTTCTGAGAGAATATCTCCTCTACACAAGCACAGATATTGGGATATTAATGTCCTCTGTGAGATAAAATGACATCATTTGTCTTGATGTGGGGGCATTTATCCAGAGTCTCCTGAGACCTCAAGCATCCTGCTTCCTTCAAGTTCACATGGATTTTGGGTGCTCCACAGATTTTGCTGGGGTTGAGCTGCCCCTGCCCTCCCTTCCGTGATGAAGCTCCTTGGAACTATTTGTGCAGAGTTTTTCTATCTGATTATATTGGAATTAAAATTTCTGCAGGTAAAAACCAGCTTGTAAAACAGCACATCACAGGTGATCTATGTGTGTCATCTTGTCTTGCAACCCTTTTATAATCAAGTAGGTATAACTAACCCTGGGTCGTGGACAAGGAGATAAAGGTCAGAGGGAAAAAAATTGGTTTTAAGAGCTCTGAAAAGAAAGGATTCTGATCCAGAGGCCAAGGTAGCAGCTCAAGACCTGCAGAAGGAGACCAGAGCGTGTTGTGAAAGGCAGGAAATTTTGAGCTACCGAGCTGGCTTCAAGTTGGGTTTCTACTCCCTGCAACATGAACGGCCCCTGTCTCTGCAGGCTCCATCGTCTGAACCTCGGTCCACCCCCAGCACAGCCTCTGATGCACCAGTAACAGATGTACACACCACCCAAACCCTAGCCTTGCTACCTGTGTGGCATTCTAGGGGTGAGTTCAAACTGCCTGCTCTGTGCCTCACCTCTCCGTTTGTTCAGCTGAGCTGCCCCAGCAGACAGCAGACTCCCTGAGTTCACATTATGGGGTAGGGTGTGTGTGCGGGGGTGGGTGTTGTGGCTATTGAACTGCAAGGGTCATGCTTCCCTGGGAGGGGGGAGCTTCTTTGCTCTCAGTCTGGGACTGTGGGACCCTCGGGCTTGGGATCAAAGTGTGGGCTCTGCTCTCTCCAGGATGACACATCCCTTCAGCCTGTAGTTCTCTTTAATTAGCTCAGAGCCTCAGAGCAATACTTTTTCCAGCTTCTTATCAGTGCTTCCTGATAAGGTAATTAATGGGTTTCTCTTCTCCACTGAGCATCCTCTTGCCCCGGAGGGCAGTGCTTGGAAGGAAGGTGCTAATTAGCTCCTGTGTGATTATCTGGTTAAAGCAACTGCAGCCAAGACTTGGCGAATCTGTATGGAGCCCTCATCCGCCCCTGGCAGAGGTGCCTGCTCTCTGACTTTGTTCCTTTTGCTGGTACCAGCTCTGCCTACAAAGTTCAGCCCTTTGCTGACAGACAGCTCCTCATTCTTTCCATCAGCATCTGAGGGTGGCAGCCTAAGGCCTAGCATCCTGCCTGGCGCCCTGGAGCTCCTGAAAGACCTCAGGAAAGTTCCTGGGAACACAGGCCTCAAAGGCTAGTCTGAGTTTCTAAGCTGGCCTTGATGAGAAGATCAAGGTAGGGGCAGTGTGCAATGGTCAGCTCTGGGACCAGAGAACTGACTCTAACCTGCATCCTGCCGCTCACCAAGTGGTGTCACAGTGGGTAAGTGACACTTTCTTTCCAAGGGTCAGTTTCCTTAGCTAGAAATAAAAGGGAAGGTTGGTCTACACTCAGATATGATCATATAAAGTTTTTGCCATCTTTGATGACTTGATCACAACTTTGCACTGTGCTGAGAGTCCTGAAAGTATGTCCTGCCTCAGTGGGGAGCCAAAGAGGCTGACCAGGATGTCTGTCACGGTCAGCGTAGGTGCATTGTGTCTCTACCAGTGACACTATGGGCATTTGCAAGAACAATTCTTACAGTGTTTAACTGTGGTGCTTTTAGGATGTTTAGTGACTTAGACAATATTCACTGAATGGCAAATAAATACGCCAGTGCTCCCTGGTGTGGAGGGGAAATGTTCCAAATCCCTCAGCAAATGCTTCAAAGCAAAGATACTGCTAGGCCCTGTACATATCCTGTTTTCTCCTGTAATACACACCTATCATAAAATTTAACTTACCAGTTAGGTACAGTAAGAGATTGACAAAGAGAACAATAAAAGGAAGAATTACAATATCCATGAAAATGCCAGCAACACGACTCTTATGCTTAGAGTACAGTAAGGATTACTTGAGCACAAGCTTTGTGATGTTACAACACGAAGGCTTGTAAGTGACTGTCGGGAGGGTAGCAAACACAGCATGGACACACTAAACAAAGGATTGGCTCTTGATCTTGGGTAAGACAATGCAGACAGAGTGAAGTTTTGTCACACTACTTGGGTGATGCATAATGTAAAACATGAATTGTTTATTTCTGAAATTTTATATTCACTACTTTTTATTTTTTAAACATCTCCTGCAATTTTTCACAGTGTTTTTTATTAATGCATGGTAGTAAACAGCTTAATGAGTTTTTGATCATTTTGGCAGATTTTTACATGTACCTAACATGCTCTAATCATTCCCCCCCCACTGTTTTTTCCTTGCCCTGCCCCCCTTCCTAGTTTACATTTTAAGGGGTGGTGGGCTCATTGTGTATTTTCATTTAATATTTTCAGACCATGGTTGACCTTGGGTAACAAAAACTTCAGAAAGCAAAACTCCAGAGGAGAGAGTACCCCTATGCTCTGTCTCTCCAGATGTCCCCTGGGCGGGGTATCTGATACCAGGTTGAGAACACAGGCAAATAGATGGCTGTAACTCTCAGGATTCTTTTGGCTGCCGTGACAGACTACACTTAATGTAGCTTAGCTAAAATGAAATGTGTTCATTTATGTCACAGGGAAGCCACGAGAGAGACGTGGGAAGCCTCTCTTCAGCCAGCAGTGTCTCCCCTTCAGTGAGTTCTGCAGTAGCAAAGGTTTTTTCATATGCTTTGCTTCCTCAAACCTTTTCTGTTTTGAAGGTAATTATAAGAGAGGAGGCCTCCAGGGCCTATGGAAGTGAGTGGTCTTCCCTTTCTTTATCCTGGGCAGCTAAATTATTAGCAGGGACTCAAGTACAGCCCTCTGTGGGTGTCTGCCTGGGGCTTGGAATCTAGGGAAGCCACACAGAGCTCCAGGCTTGTTGGAGATGGGTTAAGGTAAGGATCCAGGGTGAAGGGTTCCCACAGGATATTTGCAGATCCAGAGACAATGCTGGCCATAGCAGCAGCCCACACCACCTTCCTTCCCGTGCTGGGAACTGACTGGCTTTTGCCAGCCTCGATTTTATGCGGATCATGTTCTTCAGCCTTACTGTTGACCGGCAGCCCAGTACTTTTCAAATAAATTATTTTCCTGATTAAATTGGTTTCTGTTGCTTGTAACCAAAGCTTTTACTAATACCCAGAAGTGGGGTGTCTGGGCAGGATGAAAGCCAGAGAAACAGCAGCCTAGCTTGAAGTCTTGGGGGACTTGTGAGAGGTAGCCAGGGGGGCCCAAAGACCATGAAAGAAATTTTTCTTGACAGTGACTGTACCCAAGTTCTTGTTGAAGACTGAATGACTTCCCACAGGGGCAGACTCACTTATATTTAAGGCTTTGTCTTCTGCAGTAATCTCCAGGTATCCCTATCTAGGGTCTATCTCTTTACTAAGCATGGGTCCCAACAGCACATGAGATGAGTCTATATCGTACTCGGCATCTATTGAGCCATTATCTTTATCATACAAGGTTAAATGGATGCCAGTTCTAGAAAACAATGTAAAACAAGTCCCTAAACTTAAAAAAAAAAAACAATGAACTAATTTCCTAGGTCTTTCCCTCCTCCCTGATCAACTAAGATACATGCAAAGAGTACCTGGGGCTGTTACTATGGAATCTGCAGGTGGAGATGATCCTCTGTGCAGTGCAGTTGATTATAATACTCTCTCTGCTTTCCTCCAGCAGGCAATAACAAACGATGAAACTCTAAAGGAAGGCTACAGTCTAGAAGAGACAGGGAGATGAAATTGGTTGTTTTTTCCTGAACCTCCTCTTTCCTCTGCTAACTTGTTTGGCTTTGGTCAAACTTCTTTTTTCCAGTATGCTAGTCAATTGCTCACAGCCTTGACCTCACCTCCCAAATTGAGGGGAGCACATCACAGTCCCGGGATTGAGACTGAGGTCAGAGACCATGAACTCTGAACTCTGGAGCCAGATGGCTTGGGTCCAAATGCTAGCTGTCAAACACTGGGTGATTTGGGCAACATACTACGTTCTGTGCTTGTATCTATCTAGAAATGATAACAATAGTGATAACTACCTCATAAGACTAACTGTGAGGTTTCAATGAGTAATAATTTACTCAGAATGGGGCCTGGAGCAGAGTACAACCTCAATAAATGTCAACATCTTGGTTCCCCTCTGAGGGCCTGGGCCATGGTTGAATCTCCTGACCTGCCAAATACATGATCCAATTCTGCAAGGAGTTGCTGAGCAAGTCTGGGAAATTAGGAATAGCAAAACTTTTGCAGTCCAGTAGGAACTAAAATTAATATTTGTTTCTTAACATGAAAAGAATAGACTGCTCATGTCAAAAGAATAGACTTAAGTGTGCACCTCAGCCCCTCTGAGAGTCCCACATAGACACACGTGCATACCCACACAGACATACAGCCACACAGCGCCAGCTGCAGGTGGCCCAGGCAGGTGGGCTGACAGTCCTTCATACATCTATGCAATTCTGAGCCGTCACTGGCCTGTCTTCCTGGACAGGAATTCCTCTGGTCACCATCTGTCATCTATGATCCCATTGCATATCCTGAGCTTTAAATATCAAAGTCCTAGAAGTGGGAGAGCGGGTACCTGGTACAAACCAGCATGCTTAACCTCTACTCATCCATAAATCACTTTTGTCTATATCTTCCTCTAATGTGAAATTCACAAACTCAAGAGCTATTGAACTTCTTGCTAGTCTGGGTACACAATCCTGTCATAGCCCCCGTCTCCCATCTAGGGCCATAATAATAAGAACTTTAGAGTCAATAACAGTAGAGTAATAGACAATAACAGTAACAGAGAATAACAGTAATATCAATTATAATAGAATATACTTTAAAAGCATGTGCAGCATGTTTGTGACTGTTCTGTACACTTTTTATGCATGTGGCAGTTGGGGTGGGGTGTCAACTTGATTGGCCTTGGGATCCATCCCAGGGATCGGAGGAGCACACTCTTGGGTGTGCCTAGGTGGGTCACAAAGTGTGGCCTTTGAGCCTATGTCTGGTCCCTTGCCTCTTACTCTGTAGGAGGATTCCCTCATTCTGTTTTTCTGCCATGAACCAAGTAGCTTTGTGATACCATGCCTGGCTACCACGCTATTCCATTTTCGAAGCTAACCAACATGGACTGAATCTCCCGAATTCAAGCCAAACAAACCTCTCTGCCTTTCAATTGTGACTGCAGGGCGTTTTGTCCCAGCAAATACCCTAAATAATACGGAAAAGCTAACTAATACAAAAAACTGGTATCAGAGAAGTGGGACTATCGCTGTGATTGTATCTGACCACGTGCTCTAGAAGACTTTGGAACTGGCTCACAGGAATGTCAGGTCTGGCTCCTGGTCAGCAAACCAAAGGTGTCACATGCAAGGGACTAACACTGCTGCTCTGCCATCCAGGCAGCCTACCAGGATCATACATTCAGCCCCAGTAAAAAATTAGAGGGGCCAAACCCAGACTACTGCTAGGCATGTAGATAGTATACTGCATCGGGAGGCTTCAGCTGCTTTGGAGGTTGGACTAAAAGCCTTGAGTGCTGCAGTGTGACTGGAAATGTGCCTACATTTTGTCCATGTCCTGAGACTTTCTGGGAGACTGAGATTAAGGACAGTGTCTTGGTTATCTTTCTCTCATTTCTGGAATAAAATATCTAACATTCAAAATTAAGGATGACTCTTTTAATGCTTTAAAAATAAAACCAGAACTCTTTCTAAACATGCATTTTCACTAGTTTCTCTTCTGCTATGTTGTTCCGTCTAGCAAATAATCCTAGTATTGACTGCTTTCTCCTCCCTTTGGCCAGATCAGCCTCTACCTGAAATTTTAAGGTTAATAGTGTCTAGGGCTTGCTGTTCTTCCTCGGGAGGCGTGAAAGGTATTTCTTAGCTGGAGTCAGAGTTGGTTTGGCCCATCCAGCAAATGACAGAGGATGGCTAGAAGTGGTGGGCTTGGGGCCGTTTCTTGGCCTTGGGGCCTTTTCTTGGCCTTGGGGGGACAGCCTGGTAACACTTGGAGAGTGTCCCTTGGGAAAGAAGGAGGGTACTCTACCTCTCTCTCGCTCTCTCGCTCCCTCTGTGTGTGTGTGTGTGTGTGTGTGTGTGAAGTTAAGAGCCTCCCCTTTTCTGGTTTCCCTGGTCAGTGACTTATCTCACCATTGAGACCCTTTCTGGCATCTCTTTCACTCTTGGGACTGAGGTTCAGCGATGCTTTACTCTGAGGTCCCTGCTCAAGCTAAATGCATTTCTGTTCCCTCACCAATGTGGCTCAGAGACTGGATCAGAAGGTGAAGAGCCAGAGTAAACCTCAAGACTCAGACTGCATGTGGACGCGAGATGAGCTGCTCAGCTTACTTTTGCTCTGGAGCAGGCTTTGCAGCTCAATGTTACCTTCTGTGCGGCAGGCACAGCATCTGCTCTACCCGAGGCGGGTGCTGGGAAGGCTGGTCCTGCAGGCCCCTCTCAGCTCCGAATCTCCACCATGAGACTGGGAGCCGGAGCTTCCTCACAGCTGAGAGGTGCTAGCTGGCTCACATGCTGTTTTCCAAGGTGTGAACTGGGGAGGGCCAACTCCTTGGAATAGCCCATTCCTGAGGACTCCCCAGGGTGTCCCACCATGCTGAGGCAAGACGTGAGTGGGGGGAACAAAGAGAGATGGGAGAGATGGAGGGAAATCTGAGCAGAGTGGAAGTTATAAATGCATTGGCTACCAACATTTGTGAAGCAGAAGACAGCAGGCAACTTTGGGGAATAAAAATACTAGGACTTTCGTTTTCTCACCAGTTTGTGAGTCTTGTGTCTGTCTGTCTGTCCCTGATCAGATTACAAAATGGGTCCTTGTAGTCCCATCTTCCCAGGAGCAGGGAAAGTAAATGTAAAGATTACAGCTTCTGCCAACTAAACGAAGCTGAGACCAATCTTTAGGACTCTCCAAATCCTTAGAACCAGTAACATCTGGGCCTCATACCCTCATTTTTTACAAACCTTCTTTCCTTTATAGGGGCCAAAGGGGGTTAAAGGGAAGGCTTGATAAAAAATGCGTGTGTGCTTGTGCTTGTATACATGTGTGTGAGAAGGGACTTGCCCAGTGTGTAAGGTCTTGGGAGACATTTTACCTGGCACACTGGGACCTTCCCAAGAATCAACGCACTCCCTAGAGAAGAGGACTGAGGCACAAATGTTATTAATAACCCCAGCATCCCAGGACCCTTTTCCCTTAGCTGTTTCCATCTGAGGTTCCACTGGGGTTTTGTTTTTGGTTCTCATGAGTTATTTTCTGCCCTCTGCCCTTCTGCAGTGTTCAGCTGGGGGAGCTGAGCGAGGGGTCTGACTGGTGGCACATACAGTCCTGGGACAGAGAGAGAGAATGCTGTGGGAGCAGGTGGGTCTCTCCACAAGCCTCCATCTTGGGTTATGGCAGGGCTCGGTGCTAGGGCCACAGAGGGCTGGTGTTGATTGGAACAACCTAGTCATCTTGGGAACATTTAAGAGGAGGTCAGGGGGAGGAGCTTTGAGCAGTGGAGACTAGAGTCTAGCTCCAAGGGAAACAATGAATGTGTTTCCTCTGCACACAGGGAAGGTGCTCTCAGAAGCCGCAGGCCAGATTATCTCAAATAGATACACATCCTGAGTTCTGACTAGTTTCTAATGTCCTTCTCCCTGGAACCCAGCTTTGTAATCTTGGCAAGAGAGTGTGTTATAATGCTTTGTTCATAGTGTCACAACTAAACGCCCTATCAAGTGTGGGTCAATTTTATTAAGAAAGAGAGAGCATCCTAGGGCTTACCAGCTGGCATTATTTGATGAGGCAGCTGTGACATTCATCAGGCCTGCCTCTTACCACTCCTCAGGGACAATGGTAGAGAAAATACATCTATCATGTGCCTTCTTGCCTTGGAAGAATGAGGAGTGAATCTGGTCTCTAAGGGGTGCCAGGTCCAAGGTGTTAGGAATGGGGGATGACATTTAGGGGAAAAGTCAACCATACACTTAGAATTCGGGAGTGAGCAATGCACTATGAATTGCCACTTGGCATTGTGAAAGTGGAGGAAATCTTTGGGAAGTTAAATATTGGATTAAACCGAGGGATAGATCATACTTGAGGGGTGAATGGTGGGATGGGGATTATGCTTAATTCAATTTTGTATCTTTTGAGTTAGCCCATTGCCAAGCATGTGGTCAATAAATAACACTGAAAGAAAAAAAGAAGAAAGGATGGAAAGAAGGAAGAAAAGAAGACAAAAGCTATTAGATTAGGGAGGAAACCAACATTAGCAAGTACCTATTCTGAGTCATGACCTTTAGACATGTCACCATACTAAAGTGTCCTTATAACTCTGTTCGTGGGGATGATTATCTTCATGCTATAGACAAAGGTGCAACAGCCTAGAGACAGGAACCAGAACAGCACAGGTAGTGGGGAGATACAAGATTTGATCTTAGCCTATTGGACTCTTGTTCTTCATCTTATTCCCTACAGAAAAAAATAAATGAAATATAATTTACCAGTCACTGGGGGAACCAGTTGTAATCCAGTTTGCTTGACCTCAGAATTTCTTTACAAAAACTGGGTAAAACTAAATATTTTGGATCCGATGGGGCAGGGAACGGCATTTAAGAGCGTGTATCATTTAGTCTTGCTTTATGGAATCTTTAATTGAATTCTAAACTCAAAATATTTATTTAGTGCCTATCCTTCGGTGAAGAAAGTCAGAGAATGGCATTTCAGGCACTGAAGTCATGTGGGAAAATGTTGGGAGGCCTAAAATGCTTGAGCTGTGTATCACGCATTTAAAAATCATGCTTGGCAGGGAGAGGCAGGAAACTCTAACCCAGCAGCTTTAATAAGTAAGGAGTTCATCTCTCTCACAATATGTGAAGGCTGGTGGGACACACACTTCCTTTAATAAGGAAGTTGGGGATCCTGGTCTGTGCATCTTCTTTCTTCAACATCGTTAGATCAAGGCATGTGTTCTCTTCATCACAGAACTCCAAACTCTGTGTCAGAGTTCCAGGAAGAGAGAAGGAGGGAATGATAGACCATGTTTTTCTCATCTATTTTGATAGAAAACCTTTCTCTGGGACTTCTGCCTAGTCTGAACCAGCTATAATGGTACCTCCTATAATGGTACCTGCAAAAGAGGACAGGAATTTGAGTGTTTCTCTTTTGACTCTATGGAGTAGAGGAAAACAAGACAAAAATGGGCTGGAGAGGATGCTGATCAAGACCATATTAATGTTTTTGGTTGGATCATTGAACACAACTATTTGCAGTCTCACTGTTTGAGTGTCCACTTTGTATGCTTTGATACTGTGACTTGAGCAACTATCTCTAGGATGATAATATGTAATCTATTAACTGGTGATTTCTTACTGTTTTTTTTTTTGTAGTTCTGTATTACTTGTACCCTTACACTGCTCTGTTTTGTTTTTTCTCTTTTTCCTTTTAAATAAAATTAAAAAAAAAAAAAGATGAAATACGGAATTGGTCACAGAGTTTAGGAAAGGCTCCTCTTAATGTGTGAGGAAATGTGTTGGAGATGCAGCTGCACGACGGACACTGAATTATGATGACATTTTTGTCTCCAGAGATGGCTTAAATGGAGGCTAAGAGGCCAGGCCCTGGTGGTTCCACTGTCAAGCTTGACACTGTAACCTTGTGCCTTAGTTACTTCCTCATTGCTGAGACAAAATACCTAACACACAATTTACAGGAGGAAAGGGTTATTTCCCCTCATAGTTTGTAGAGGTTCCGGTCCATGGCTGGCTTTAAGACAGGGTGGCATGGCCGAGGGGCATCACAGAGGAGAAACAGTCCATGCCCTGGGAGACAGAAGGCAGCAAACAGCAAGCAGTAGACGCCTGCCTTCCATCTCTTCCCTTCATTCCATCCTGGCTCCAAACCTTGCATTGGTGAGACTTCACCTTATCCACACCCTTAATCCATGTTCACACAGCTTAGGTCCGTGGGGGCAAACCTACAGCGCACATGTTATTTGTTTTACTCTGAAGACAAAAGATAATGTGAGTTGATTTTTCCTAAACTAAAAGTTCAGTATTCAGGTTTCATTGTAGTGTTGGCACTTTGGTATAAATAATTGGGTTTTGAGTTGTAGTTTGGGCACTGATCTCTAAAAGGCTCCCTAATACTGCTCTAGATCCAGTCACCTCCAAAAAACCTCACCTAGGAACGCATGAGGCTTTGGGGGGACATTTAGATACAAGCCATAACACCCTGGGTTTGCTTGGTGATAAACAGGTTATCCTTATATATTTCTCTCCAGAGGGGTCTACGCTTAATTTTTAGGAAAATCTCATGGGTTAGTTTGTTTCTTCTATCTTTCTACCCCCCAGCCCATCCATCCATCCATCCATCCATCCATCCATGCGTGCATCCATCCACTCATTAAGCATCTATTTTGTATATTCTAGATATACTTTCTATGTGCTAACCTTGTTTTTCCTCTCTCTTTTCCCCTGTGTGGGCCAAACGTGGGAGCCTAAGGATAAAAAGTTATCTAAAACAGTTGCTATTTCAGTCCAGAACTTGAAGTTAAAAATGTTCGAGTGGAAAAAAAAAAGTTTAAAAATATAGATGTGTATTTTTTTAAAACCCCATTAAGCTGTCAAGAGCCCTCTGTGTGTTTCCTTTCCCATCGTTGCTAATCGGCAAGGTATGTGTATGCCCCAAACAGAGGAGCGGCCAACCCCTACCTCTCACCCCCTGGCTTTCCGCTGCTGACACTTGAACCATAGACACAAACTCTGGGGACCCAGGAGTGGACCTCCATGTCTCAAGGAGACTTCTAGAGGAACAATTTAGCTTCTCCATTGCTGCCAGGACAGCCTCAACATTTTCTGATGGTACATTTAGGTTGCCTGGGCTCAAATCATGGCAAATCATTTGCTAGATGTATAACTGAATGCTTTATTTCCCTGGGCTTCAGCTTCCCCGTATGTAGTCTGGGATTTGACAATATTGCCTGCATCTTCATGTTGCTGTGAGGTGAAATGAACAAAACCTGTAAGGCCATGAACAGAGCTCTGACTTGTGTTGGCTGCTATCATGGCTACTGTGACTGATATTGGTATTGTCTTTCTGGTCTCCACTGTGATTTCCAAATTTAGAGAAATTTACCAGAAAAAAATTAGAGTATTGATCTTGGGGTATTTTTATATAGTCATGTAATTTTAAATTAACAACAACAACAAAAAAAAAAACTGAAATGGAAGAGACTTTCTGGAATCTTCCCAGCTGGGTAGTAGTAAAGACAGAACATAGCTCCAACAATCTGGCCACAGGAACATTGCTTAGCTGACCCCTTCTCCTCTGTTCCTAACTCAGCAAATGCCTGAATCAAAGTGTTTTCTATGTGCATTGTTTATGAGTGGGCTCTTCAGTGTCCACCCACCATCAAGGTCTGTATTGCCTTGTATAAAGTATAGACGAAAGCCAGGTGTGGTGGTGCATGACTGTCATCCCGGCACCCTGGACGAGTGAGGCAGGGGCAACTTGAGCTTGTCTCAGAAAAGGTAGATAGTGCTTGATTTGGCAGGACACATACTAAAAAGCAAAACATGTATTGGTGGCTGGGGGTATAGCTCAGCTTGAAGGCCCTGGGTTCAATCCCCAGTACTGTAAAAATAAATGAATAAAAAGAACAAGTGTATATATGCTTATAGCATATAAACAGATATACAGTATTTCTGTGGTATTAAATTTTTAAGGGAGGAGGCAACTAGCAAAAATTGTCTAAAGTCTCCTTAAGGAGAATAACTGGCTTGGACCAATCATGGTTCATTACTGGCTCCTGAGGACATTTCTTTCAGCCAGGAAGACTGGAACTGGAAATCTGGACAGTGTAAGTTGTTACTCCTGGCCATGTGTGGATTCCAAGTGTCCCTCTTCTGGACTGAGTCCTCATGGTCTACACTAATGACTCATCTATAAACTGCACTAAAAACTCAAATCAGTCATTGCCTGGAAAGAGGCATATAGGTGATATTCATCTCCTTCTTCGTGTTTTGCAGACCAGTGGTTCCTGAGCTGGCTGTGCATTTAAATTACTTGGGGAGCTTTTAAGTCACCAGGTTCCATCCCAGAGTCACCATTCAGATCAACTGAACTCCAGCACGGATCAATTAAATCAGAATCTTTGGGGGCAGGACCCAGGCTTTGTGAGTGTTTAAATCTCCCATTGATGTGCTATCGATTGAGAAACTGCGTGTGTTTGTCTTTATTTTTCATATGGTGAGTGTATACTTTTGTTTAAAATCTTAAGAAAATAAGACAATCCTGATTTGGAAAACATTAACCTTGTTTCTGCCTAATTCTTTAACAAGTCTTATCTTCTATTATAAAACTTTTATTAAAAAGGAAACCACTAGACATAATAGAGAAGTTCACATTGTCAGTACTAAGCATAATGAGAAATCAAGAAATAAATTAACAAGGTGCAGAGCCAACATTAAAATCAGTAGGTTTTTTAAAAATACACTCATAATGTACTAGCTGAGAAAGAAATCAGGAAAAAATATTCCATTCCTCAAAGCTTCATAAAGGAATAAATAAAACCTTAGGAATATACTTAACCAAGACCTCTGAGATGAAATTATAGAAGCGAGAGAAAGCAACTGAAAACAGTAAGAGATGGAAAGATCTCCGGTGTTCATAGATCAGCAGAATTAATGTCATTAAAATGACCACATTATCCAAAGTGATCTACACATTCAATGCACTCTCCATCAAAATTCCTATGATATTCTTCACAGAACTAGAACAGTCATAAAATTCATACGGAAGCACAAAAGACCCAGAGTAGCCAAAGAAACCCTTAGTAAAAATAATAAGGCCGGAGGCATCACAATACCCAATTTCAGAATACACCACAAAGATATAGTAACAAAAACAGTGCGATAAAAATAGATGAATAGCCCAGTGGAATAGAATAGAGGACATGTAAACAAACTAACATGACTAAGCCATCTGATTTTTGACAAAGGAGCCAAAAACAAACATTGAAGAAAATACAGCCTCTTTAACAAATAGCGTTGAGAAAATTGAATATTCATATATACAAGGTTGCGGCTGAATCTCTCTCTGACCAAATACAAAAATTAATTCAAAATGTTCAAAGACCCAAGTATAAAACCTGAGACTTTGAAGCTGTTAAAAGAATACATAGGGGAGGCCAGGGATTTAGCTCAGTGGCTAAGCGCCTGCCTTGTAAGCACATGGTCGTGAGTTCGATCTCTGATGGAGGATTAGTATTGCGAACATAGGAAGAACTAAAAATACGTAACACCAAAAACAAATAGCCCAATTAATCCTTCAATGAAGTGTTCCATTTTCAGAATGCCCATTATAATGAAACATAAATTTTCTCCTCAAATCCTTGTTGCTTGAATTTTTCTGGATAACATATATGAATTTCATGCAAACATTTAAAACATTTCAATCTTCAGCAATAAATGAACTAATAAATGGGCAAATGAATAGAACAGATGATTTTCAAATGAAAAAGTACGAAAGTCTAATAAATATATGAAAAAATGTTAGCATCTCTAGACATTAAACAATGTAAATTAAAATTACAATGAGAATAGCTACCAGCAAAAAAAAAAAAAAAAAAAGTGGTGGAAATAAGGAAAAAGGGGCTGTTCTACATTTCTGATGAGACTGTACTAACAGTCATTATGGAAATGAGCATGGCGTTTTCTCAAAAACACTAGAAATAGATCTATCATATGACCCAACTATATCATTGTTGGTATACCCAATAGAATTGAAGTCCACATATTTCAGGCGTACCTGCATACATGTGTTTATTATGGTACAATTCACAGTAGCCAAGGTGTAGGACAAATCTAGGTACCTATCAGCACATGAATGGATAAAGACAATGAAGTATATGGAATAGTATAGAACAAGGGATTATTATTCAGTTGTAAAGAAGAATGGATTCATGTCATTTGCAGGAAAACATCATCATGTTACATAAAATAAGTCAGATTGAGAAAAACAAATACTTTCCCTAATATGTAGAATTAAAAAAAAATGGCATGGAGATAATAGGGGGACTCTTAATAGACAAGAGGAAGGGGAAGGAGATATAAGAGGGGGTAACAGGTTGGATAAATATATTAAAAACATGTACATGTATAAATACATGGGTGAAATACCACCTTAAAACCCAATAGTTTGTAAAATTAATAGGCACTAATAAATATATTTTAAAAAATAAAGTAGGTAAAATTATAAGTAAGTATAATTTATAATTTACTTATTTAAATGAGGTTAAGTATATTTTCATGGAATTTTTAAAGAGAAAGATATGAAAAGAAAATTTAAAATGAGTAACAAATCAACTGCATATACAGCTTTTGGTGGGCACCCACGAATATCCTTGCGATGGCTGATCTTTAAATAGATTTGTATTTCTGTATCAACCCAGATGATCACTATTGCTGGAGGAAGCTGTGAGTTTTGTACCAGATGTAGCTGAATAAGTAGCGGTGGCTTAGACAGAGTTAATTCAAAGGAGAAAACAGAAGCATCAAGGGTAAAGAAGGGCAACTGAACAGAGGCCTGTGTGCCCACTCGCTCCAGCGTCCCCTGCCCCATCCATCGGAGCAGCTGCTGAGAACAGGTAGCTTTTCCCATCGTGAACCAGGACTCACGATTCCTATGAGAGCAGGCAGTGATGGCCAGGTTGGGCATCTAACCAAGCATTCCAAGAGGATCAGCCTTTGGCCAGATTCACGATAACTCTTGTGACCAAGGTGACAATCATATCCAGAGCTAACTTCTCAAAAATTTATCCTTTAATGTTCTCATGGGTAGTTGTGTTAGTAAAGAGCTTCTTTAACTGTCTTGTTAGAATAGCAGCATGAGAAATAACACTTTCTAGGCCCTGTCTGGGCCCACTGTTCCTCCTTCATCTGTAGAGCAGCCTAACTACCCTCTAAAACCCCACACATCATGATATTGTGACCTAATGTCATGGTCTTCATTTCTTTAATAACAACAGTATCTTTCCCTTTTGTGTGAGGGAGCAAAGACTTTTATTGTCTAAGAGCTTTGGGATATATATACATAGAGAGAGAGAGAGAGACAGAGAGAGAGAGACAGACAGACAGACAGACACAGAGACAGAGAGACAGAGACACAGAGAACAACACAAAGACAGAGATGTATACATCAGAAAAAGAAAAACATAACTATCAATACTAAATTTATTGAGACATCACGAGATTAATACAAGTTACCTCTGGCCTTTGCAATGACAAGAGATGCACAAAATGGTGGACATCAGCTTCCGGACATTTATTATTACAGTGAACTGCTGTTTGGCTGATCTTGGTTATTGAGGTTGCTGTGTGTTTGTTTTCAATGTCTTTTCTAAGTGACAGAAGTGTGTTGAGTTTTCTGCAATAT